CTCGGGGTCCTGGGATGGAGCCTTGCATTGGGTTACCTGCTCAGCGGGGAGTCTGCTTCTCCTTCTTCTTCTGCCCCTCCCCCTGCTTGTGCGCACTCTCTCTCTCCGTCAAATAAATAAAATCTTAAAAAAAAATAAAAGATATCCAGCTCCAGAGAGGGGCCAGAAAGCCAGACATGGGGGAGTTTGGAGGAATGTGAGGATGCTCCTGATGAAGGGCATGGCCTTTGACTCAGGGGCGTAGGTCAGATAGGGGCAGTCCTGTGAGGGCCCCAAGGGGCAGATGAGTCCCCTGCCTGTGGGCAGTCAGCCCAACCGTTAGCCAAAAGTAGAGGCGCCCTCGGCCTTGCATTCCTCCTGCTGTCCCTAACCAAGCCCGGGGTTGAGTCTGGTTCTAAAGCCATGCTTGTCTTCACTGCGCCACAAGAGGGGTGAAGAGTCCACCTTGGTGGGAACATTAAGGAGGAGCAGTGGCCCCTCCCCCCAGCAATGGTCAGTGGAAAGAGAGCCACCAGGGAAAAGAGGACTGCTGGGGACAGGAGTCGTGACTGAGGGTCAGCCTCCCCATGTGAAAGCGCTCTCCTGGCTGCCAGCCCTGGAGGATGGAAATTAGGTTTTCTAGGAGGAATGGAGGCCCCACGGTGCCCTCGGAAGGCAGTGTGGGAAGGACGTGGACGGTGTGCCCCGGCAGACCTGGGTTTCCGTCTCAGCTTATCCTTCCATGCTGTGGGGCCTTGGCAATGACTTAACCCCCTGGTCCACGGTTTCCTGTCTGTGGAGTGGGGTGTGCCTCCCTCACAGCTGTTGCAGAGATGAAGCTAGGAGTCTTGCGGGGCTGGCGCTGGAGGGGTGTCGGCGGGGGGGCGGGGTGGCCTTCCCTCCAGGGAGCAAATCCAGGTGGAACCAGTTTATTCAATGGGCTGACCTGGGAAATGGCCTCTTCTTCATCTGCTGTCTTAAAGAACTTCCCTTTGGATCCCTTCACATCTTGGGCAAATGCTGGAGTTTTCCAACTGGTCTTTTTTTTTTTTTTTAAAGTACCAGCCGTTTTAAAATTGAAACTCAGTCTCAGATATCCAGTCTGATCTCAATCGAATCTAAATCCAGTCTTCAAGTTCACTTCTAATCAAAGCTCAGCCTCTCCCTCCCGCTCAGGCTGGCCCTCCGCTCAGGGGCTTGCGGTGCGGGAGGGGCAGTCTGGTTCGCTCTTGGTCTGACATTGCTGGGCCCACTATAATCTTTTCTTTAGCTATTGCTGGTGGCGCTGCCATGGCCACTGTTGGGACAGACGTGCCCTTTCATGGGGCTCCTCTCTGGGTGTTTGGAGACCACTGCCCTGCGCTATTCCCTCAGTGGGCATGCCCTCTCCATCCTACTGCCTGTGAGGACCTTGAGTGCTGCCCCAGCACCCTGCCCCTTAGCCTCTTACTGCTAGGGGCCCCTCCGTCCAGCAGCAACCCTCTTGGGCAGAGACTCTTCAGATCTGGCTGCCTTCCACTCCACCGTGTCACTCTCACACACCCTTGATGCAACAAGCGTCGTCGGCAGTGCGGACTGCTCCCCTCTTCCCACCCCTGCCTGCATAGGCTGCTCCAGCCAGCCTCCCATCCAGAGAACTCTCCAGCACAGCTTCAGACTCTAGGAAATGCCTCCGGCTCTCCCCAAACCATCACTATACTGCAGCCAGTGACCCTGGCTGGGCCTGCCTGTGCCCGCGGCTTGGCTAGCCTCCGGAGGTGAGCTGCCTGCTCTCTGCTGCAGCTTGAGGTGCTCTTGACTGCACCCCCGTGACCGCACTTGCCCTGGGGGTGGGTGCGGGATGGCACAGCACCTTCTACTACAGAAGCTCTGCTGCTTCATGACCATCTCCCATTACCCCTGGATAATTTCTGGCCTTTCCATATAGCCTGGAGGTGTGGGGTGGGGCGTGCTAAATAACCAGACTCGTTTTGGTCTTCTAGTAATCCAGCATAGATGTATCTAGAACTTCTCTTTCAAATTGGGGATAACATACCACATGTCACTCTTAGCTTTGAAACTTCAGCTAAAAATCCTCAAGATTGGGAAAATCCCATTCAGTATTCTCTCAGGCAAGTATTCATTTTCCAGGCTCAGGACTTTCCATTTCTTCCAGAATCTAGCAAAGGGATCCCCTATTAGAGGCGCTGTTTTTCCTCAGTGTGTAGAGGCAGTGTCCGGTAGAATGGTCTAGGCACCAGGCTAGAAGCCATGTATGGTATCTATCCCCAAAGAGCTATAGGTCATGTCCCCTCTGCCCCTGCTCCCTCACCTATACTGTGAGAGGTAGATTAGAATTAAGGTCCCTTACCGTTAAGAGTCTAGTTTTTTTTTTTTAGTTTTTTTTTTTGGGGTTCCAAAAAAAAACCCTTACAAAACACACAGATAATTATACAACACCCATGTAACCACTATCCAGATTAACAAAACATTTCCAGTACCCCAGAGGTCCCTGTATCCCCCCCCCGTTTAACCCCCTGCCACGCCCAGAGGAAACTCCAATTCCGACTTTTATTGAAATTACTTCCCTTAAATAAAAACTTAAAAAAAGGAGCAGGGGCATCTAGCTGGCTCAGTTGGGAGAGTATCCAACACTTGATCTTGGGGTCATGAGTTTGAGCCTTGTGTTGGGTGTAGAGATTACTCAGTTAAATAAAAACTAAAAAAAAATACTTCCTTGATTTTTCTTATAATTTTACCCACCAAGAATGCATCCCTAAAAAAATTACTATAGTTTGGTTTTGCATTTTTTTTTAAGATTTCTTTTTGAGGGGCACCTGGGTGGCTCAGTCGTTAAGCATCTGCCTTAGGCTCAGGTCATGATCCCAGGGTCCTGAGATCGAGTCCCACATCGGGCTCCCTGCTCAGCGGGAAGCCTGCTTCTCCCTCTCCCACTGCCCCTGCTTGTGTTCCCTCTCTCGCTGTGTCTCTCTCTGTCAAATAAATAAATAAAATCTTTGGGAAAAAAAAAGATTTTTTTGAGAGCGAGTGAGCACAAGGGAGGAGGGGCAGAGGGAGAAGCAGACTCCCTGCTGAGCTGGGAACCCAATGTGGGACTCGATCCCAAGACCCTGGGATCATGACCTGAGCCAAAGGCAGACACTCAGCTGAGTGAGCCACCCAGGTGCCCGGTTTTGAGTTTTTTATAAATGGAATAATACAGAAGGTGTTCAGCTTCTTTAACATTCTTTTTGTGAGGTTCATTCATATTATTTCAAGTAGCTGTGGTTGATGCGTTCTCGTTGTTGTCTATTTCCTTGTTTGAATAGACCGTGACTTGGTTATGGTGCTGGATATTTGAGTCATCGATCTAGGACTTCATATAAATGTGCTCACAGACACACAAATAACAAACACTTTCACTCCACATATAACCATATGGATTCAGAGCTGATTTCTTTGTGAATTCAAGAACTTGGGTTTGGCTTTTTTTTTCTAAGATTTTTTAAAAGATTTTATTTATTTATTTGAGAGAGGGAGAGAGAGAGAGCCCGAGCACGAGCACGAGCAGGGGAGGGGCAAAGGGAGAGGGGAGAAGCAGACTGCCCACTGAGCAGGGTGCCCAATGCAGGGCTCAGTCCTAAGGCAGATAGATGCTTAACCGACTGAGCCACCCAGGCACCCCTTGGGTTTGGCTTTAAAGTGTGGAAAAATCCCTCTATTAAATTGGTTACACTGCTAGTATGGTTTTGGTGTTTTTGTTTTTCCTCTCTTGTGGCCAAAATCTGAATCTAGGGATATAATTCATCTTCTTCAACTTGGGTATCGTCATAAGCTTTTCTCCTAACTTAAGTCATTAAGCATAAGATGAAGACCGAGGTTAGGCAATTGAGATTTCCTCCAGGGAATCTAGAAAATGATTAGTATATAGGCTTAAGGAATTACTGAAAAAATTTTTTTCTCTGGCTCTTTTAAGGAAATGGTAAGCCAAAGGAGACAAAACTCTTCTCCACCGAGTTCCCAGGCATGGCTCGCCCCACTAGTATAGCAGCACACAGGCAGCCCTCCTGACGTGGGGCATAAATTTCACAGGATGCCCCTGAACTTTTGCTGCATAGGTGCTGAAAGGTGCCCCGGTGCTGCTCAGACAGATGACCCATATCCAGCTCAGACTCCAAGCAGCAGTGAATCTTTGTGCCAAGAGACTAAACCCCCTCTATAACCAGAGTGAGGCAAACATGGGTCCCACAAGGAGACCACAGCGGCAGTGGGCTGAGAGCTCAGCGGGAGGGGCAGAGCTTACGCTGCCCTGGATGGCAGGGGCCGGAGCGCACTGGTGGGAAGTCAAGCCTTCTGCAGAAGTGGATTGATAGGGGCACCTGGGTGGCTCAGTCTGTTAAGCGGCTGTCTCCAGCTCAGGTCATGATCTCAGCGTCCTGGGATCAAACCCCAAGTCGGACACTCAAGGACACAGCCAGCTCACTCTCTGAAGGGTGTGGACTCATTGTCAAACAATCTTTTTGTCAGTTTCCTAAACCCTCTTTCAGAGAGCATCACACACAGCTACCTGGACTGAACACACTCTACCTGGTCCCTAATAATCCCAGTTAAAATGAAGCCTTTATGGAATTCTGCCCTAAGTAGGCCCGCGTGTGCCATTGGTTACCTCTAAAAACAAAACAAAACATCTCTTTGTAGCTTTGCAGGTATCTCAGTGGTCTGCACCTGTGCAGTGGTTTCATTTCCTGCGCCTTCATGGGTCCTTCCTTCCTAGTGACCATCCTGCCCCACCCATTTCAATCTACAGATCCCCAAGACCAGGGGCCGTGTCTCCTCCAGCAGTTTAGGCGTTGCCCCGATCGGGAATCATGCCTAGTGCCGCCAAGGGACAGAGAAATGTCCAAGCACCGTTTCCCCTCCTCTGAGTGAAGCCACTCAGGGTAGAAGCCACGGCAGCACCTGCGTAGGCCCACCCGGCTCTACGCCCAGCAGGCGCCACCCGCCCAGCCAGGGCCTCGCTGACCCCTGCCCTGTCTCCGCAGGTTTCGGCATGACCACCCCCGCGACGGTGGGCGGGAAGGCCTTCCTCATCGCCTACGGGCTGTTCGGCTGCGCCGGGACCATCTTGTTCTTCAACCTCTTCCTGGAGCGCATCATCTCGCTGCTGGCCTTCATCATGCGAGCCTGCCGGGAACGCCAGTTGCGCCGCAGCGGCCTGCTGCCCGCCACCTTCCGCCGCGGCTCGGCGCTCTCGGAGGCCGACTGCCTGGCCGGCTGGAAGCCCTCGGTGTACCACGTGCTGCTGATCCTGGGCCTGTTCGCCGTGCTGCTGTCTTGCTGCGCCTCGGCCATGTACACCAGCGTGGAGGGCTGGGACTACGTGGACTCGCTCTACTTCTGCTTCGTCACCTTCAGCACCATCGGCTTCGGGGACCTGGTGAGCAGCCAGCACGCCGCCTACCGGAACCAGGGGCTCTACCGCCTGGGCAACTTCCTCTTCATCCTGCTCGGCGTGTGCTGCATCTACTCGCTCTTCAACGTCATCTCCATCCTCATCAAGCAGGTGCTCAACTGGATGCTGCGCAAGCTGAGCTGCCGCTGCTGCGCGCGCTGCTGCCCGGCGCCCGGCGCGCCCCTCTCCCGGCGCAACGCCATCACGCCGGGCTCCCGGCTGCGCCGCCGCCTGGCCGCGCTCGGCGCCGACCCCGCGGCCCGCGACAGCGACGCCGAGGGCCGCCGCCTGTCGGGCGAGCTCATCTCCATGCGCGACCTCACGGCCTCTAACAAGGTGTCGCTGGCGCTGTTGCAGAAGCAGCTGTCCGAGACGGCCAACGGCTACCCGCGCAGCGTGTGCGTCAACACGCGCCAGAACGGCTTCTCGGGCGGCGTGGGCGCGCTGGGCATCATGAACAACCGGCTGGCGGAGACCAGCGCCTCCAGGTAGACCGCCGGGCCGCGCCACGGACCCTCGGCAGGCTGGCGTGCCGCCGGCCGTGGTTAGCTTTCCTTCTCTCAGACGCTGGCGCTTTCTTAATCTTTACCCAATAAAATCAAACCAAAAAAAAAAAAAATTTTTTTTTTAAAGAAATACTACTTGGCCAGGCCTGATGTTATCTAGGGCAGGTTTCGGGGGAGCCTGTTTTCCTCGTGGGTCCCCTCTTGAAGAACCGTGGCCCCCGGCAGATTCTCCTCCAGGGAGAGAGAAAGTGGCACCCCAGACCCTCACCCGGTGCATACCGCAGCGAGGAGAGGGCCATCCCTGGGTTTTGCGGACTGGCACTAAACCCCGTCCCCATGCACACAAGCAGCCGGCAACCCCAAAGCATATGGTGCAACTTCTCATGGCTCTGAATTACCTCCGCATCATTTAGAATCCTGGCCCAGCCTAGCAGCTTCCTTCTGGTCGTCAGAAGTGATGTAGTCACAGTTTTGACAGGTGGGGGTGGGGAGAGCCATATGTTGCCTACCGATGTATATAAATAGAACAGCCGCTACACACGGAGAATGGTGTAGTATTATGCAATGAGATGAAACACAGCACCAACTTGCGGACGGTGGCATTTCCCCGAGATTTGGAAATTGGGATGGTAAGGGGCTCAGCTGGCCTTTCTCAGCCTGGAGTTAGTGCATTTAGCACAGCACACAGGGCAGCTACTTTTAATGCCGGAAATCCAGGGTGGCCGGCAGGGAGGGGAGCAAGCAGGCTGCAGGAGCCCTGCTTTGCTTCAGCCAGCTGAGCTCTGAGGCTGGGGGCCCATCTCAGAATCCCCCAACCCTCCTTCCTTTCACCAGCGTTATCCTTGGGAATGCTTTTCACTACTAATCAGGAGTGTCTGGGTCTTCTCCCACAAGATCTTGCTTTGTTGGTGTGGATTTCGTTTCTTAACTCCCGTTGAGCAGCTCGTTTTCCCCCTAAGGGTGCAGAGTGCAGCCTCCGGAACCCCCTTCTCCTCCTCTGAGTCAGGGCTCCTCAGCACCAGGAACCCACAGCAGCCATCCTGCAAATGTCTCAGAGAAGTTGGCTCCAGAGCCCATAATGTTTTGGGGACAGATCCCATTCTAAACCCTGTTTGGCCCCCACTGATAGTCAAGTGAATTTGTTTTCTCCACTCACAGTCTGTGTTGGAGGTGGAGGAAGGCGGGGGGCAGGGGGGCTGATGGAATGGGTGGATGGAAGCGGTTTTGGAATTAGTTTTGCAATGGATGATCCTCAAGCTGAGGGACCGGTTCTCCGCCCTCTGCTGCAGAGGGGTCCCTGACCTCGAGGAAGGTCAGATGCTGTTTTCATTGAAAGGATGGGGTTCTTGAACTGTAAAGGAACAATGCTCTGTCGGCCCATTTTCCTCATCTAAAAAGATGATCCCAAGGACAAATGCCAGAGTCTAGTCAGACACGGTGTGACCCACCACTATCTACAGCTTCTGCCAGGAAGTCTTAGAAAAGCAGCAGGACGCCTCACACCGCATGCCTGCGAGGCATGGGAAGCCGTGAAATCTCCCTCCCCGGCAGTGAAGGAAGCATATGTGCCTGGAACACACACACATGCACACACACCCACATGCACACACATGCACACAGCATTAGGAGTCCTGCTTGAATGTCAACCTCCCCTCTCCCCCTCCAGTTCATGACCAGAAGGGGAAAATGTGTTGGGATCTGAATGACTCCCTAGCTACTCTAGGTAATTTCTCATTGGGATTGGGATTTCAACACAGGCCCTAATCTGTGGGTGAGGCCAGTGAGGCAGAGTGGCCAGGAGAGAGGTCAGTCTTGCTAAATCCTGAAGGGTAGGCTTCCAGAGAGCCACACTTCAGGAGTCACCAGGACCAGCGCTCAGGCCAGCTGGTGGCACCCCTGCCCCGCCCGAGCCACGGCTTCAGTCACACTGCAGTGACAGCACACCAAGAGAGGCACACGCGCTCTAGGCCAAGGCTCTCTCGGAGGGTCTAGAAATTAAGTGCCACGCCCATCCCTCTAGAAGGGAAGATGAAAAGGCATCCAATTAGAGGTGTCACCCAGGCAACGAGCAATAACTTGGGGATCTGAAGCATACAGAGGGGGGTGAGATTTCCCCATGATGGAGGCATCTAGACCACGAGGACTTGACAGCAGGCAAAACAGCAGTCAACCCAGGTGAAGTGAGCCCCAGCAACAGTGCAGGAAGCTTAAGACCTAGCTAACGAGGTTCTCTGAGCTAGACAGGCCAAAGGGGTGTCCAGGGGATCCCACTGACCAGCGCACAGGACTGCACAGAACCGCGTCTCCACGGGAGGGAGCAGGACCCACCTACAGAGAAGAAAAGCTCACAACCTTCCGTGGCATTCTTCTCTGTCAGCAGTGCTTCTTAAAGTCTAACCTAAATTGCTCATGCTGCAGCCTTAGCTGTTTTCACTTCTATGCTTTGCCTTTGGAAGGAGACAATTGTGAGCAGCTTGAGCAAGCTTCTGAAGGAGCCATAAGACTGGCTTAATGGGGACAGGGAAGGGACCCTTCCTTCTCGTCAACCTCCCAGAGAAACACCAGCCCTCCAACATACAAAAGTAGCTCAGGACCCCATGGCGTGCGTGTATTTTTGCCCATGTTCCCCTAGTCCCCCCACCCAAATTCATTCCATCGTTGTCCTTCACCTCAGGCCAAAGAGCTCAGTGCCCCGAATGTCAGTGGCTGCTTCTTGGGGGCGGGAAAGCCAGGCTCCCAAAGTTAGGGGGATTGCTGGAGCCTAGACCCCTGCCTCAAGCTTATTTGGCATCCTGCTGAGCGTTGAGTACCAGGACTGGGATTCTACCATCATTTCGGGAATAATGATGTTGATAGGAAACCCTTTCTTTGGTGCAGGTTCTTCTGAACCTCAGGCTAAGCAAAGGCTCCATCCTCTTAGATGCTGTGGCTTCTCCCTCCATGTGGGGATCTCCAGTTTGACCCACGGCTGGTAGCTCCTAGCAGTCTATGACTCCCACCCCCCAACTCCCGGGATTGCGGTCTCACCTTAGGCCTATACTCACCCCTCTGGGGCTGGGGCTGTGGGGCTCTAAGCAGCCCTTGCCACCTGCTGTGGTGACACAGAGGCCAGGGTCTTAGTGAGCAGCTGGGACTTCTCTGGGATGAGCAGACAGGTAGGGAAGCCCCCCCTGATGTCCTTGCTTGCTAATGAGGCCAGGTGGTCAGGCTCCTCTGTCCTCTGATTGAAGCCAGAGCCCCCGGGGCCTGGAGAAAAAGTCAGAAGGCTCAGGCTGTGTCAGGCCCTCTGCTTGTGGAAAATGCCAGTCCTGGGCATTTGCCCAGGAGCTTCACACATCACAGCATCATGTGTACTTACACGCGTGCGTGCACACACACACACACACACACCAGCCTTACCAAGAGCTACTAGCCCCTTTCCCCAAGGAAAAATCCCAGTCTAGATCACGTTGAGAAGAAAGCTTTCCCATTTTTACCTCCCTGGAGACTAGGGCCTGGAAAATTCCTCTCCGCCTTGGGGGAGTTTCGCGTACATTTTGCATGAATTTGAATCTGTGTTTTACATAGAAGCCAGCGTCCAAACCCAAGCCAAACCGTGGAAGATAGCTGCTAAATTTACGCAGGCTCCTCCACCCCTCAGATAGGCCTCCTAGCAGACGCCCTCTTCCTGTGTGCTCCGGGGTGAGGGTGGCTGAGCCCTCACAGCCAAAGGAGAAGCTTCTGGGGAACCGAGGCAGATGGAAGCCCACAGAGGTGGCGGCGGCCCCAGGAGCTGTGGGCCAGCGGGTTCCGTCTTACTGTAACTTTTTACCTTCTTAACAAACGAAAAGCACAATTCCACCTGCACACTGTCTGGAAAGCACAGCCAGACAGACTGCTTAGGGCCCTTCCGAGTCCGGAAGAGGCGCTGGGGCTTCTCTTGCAGGGCTGCGGTACTGCGAGCTCCTCGCGGGGCGGCCGGAGGCGGCACGCTCTGCGGGCCGGGGTGGGGGAAGGGCTGCGGAGACCATTCCCGAGCCAGGGCCGGCTCCTCCGCGCGGACTCGGGGCCTGGACTCGTGCCCCCTCCCAGGAGCAGCTCTGGCACCTTCAGGCACCTCCTTAAGCGCTGAGAAGCGATGGGATTTCTGTATTCACGGGGCCGGAGACCCTCCTCCCCTTTCCTTCAGCCTCTTCCTCCTCGCCCCCCCTCCCTAGGGAAGCTCCCCCTCGCTTTACAGATCATTTTCTATGCTACTGTGTTCTCTCAGGAGGGGGGTTAGAGCATGCGGGGCAAGCCTGCAGGGTTTCTTAAACAATACATTTATTTTTCTGAGCAGTACTCCAAGAGAGGAGTTGAAGGGTGTTGAAATTAACGATGAATAAAATGCAGCCTGCCACCCCTTTGAGCTGTTTGCTGTCTGTCTGTCAGAGCCTCCTGCCTCCCTACCTCCCTGATCACACCTCCTCTCAGGGGCCCCAGGAGACCTCAGCTCCTTGGATTGGGCCCCAGCAGCAGCTCCCAGGGGACGTTACTCAGCAACACAACAGTGACATCCATCCGAGCCAGGAGGCGCCAGTGAACCTTGCAGGCAGCTTGGCCCAATTGCGTGGGGGCCAGTTTCTAAGAGCCCGGCCTGGTGGGAAGATGGGCGCAGAGGAAACCGGCCCCATTGTGGTAGCAGTTGCCAACCCTGGTGATGCACAAGATTCTCCAGAGGCAACTTGAGAAGATACTGATGCCCAGGCCCCACCCCACCCCTACTCCCCACCCCTACTCCCCACCCCTCATCTCTCCCACCCCCACCCACCCCCGCCCCCGTCCCACTCCTGCCTCTGGCCCCCAGGCCCGAGATCCTGATTTCAGTCCTGGGAGGAGCTCAGGCAGACACTGGAGTTTTGTGGAAGGTGCCCAGGTACTCCTAATGGAGTGTCTTGAACCCACACTCTAAACACAGAGCACTGTCTTCATAGTGTGGAAAACGCACCCACTTAGAAGCCAGGAAACCCGAAATCTATTCCGCATCTGGCAGTCACTCTGCTGGCTCAGATCCTCAGTTTTCTCATCTCTAAAATGGGATAATGATATCATGTACCCCCCCCACCAGGAGTCTTATGAAAAGTAAATGAGAGGCTGAGAACTGAAAAGTGTCAGCTCTCCACAAATGCAAAGGGTCGCCCTGAGAGGGACCAGGTAGCCCCTACTGCTTCTGCAGGGCCAGCTGGGGAAGACGGTTCCATCTAGATGATTGCTTCTGTCCGTGGTGCCATCATAATAGTGCAAACTCCACAGCCCATCCCCGGGTCATCCTTTTCCCTGGGGTGCCCTCCCTGGACCTGAGAAGTAGTTTACAGGTCACTCAAGTACGGCCC